GATGTTCATGCGGACTGTAAGATTGAAACCAGTACATAGTCTCTTTTAGTATCTTACACATTTCCAGTCATGCTTTCATTGCAAAGAATAATTTATATATAAACTGCATCGAAGGAACAAACCAAAAAGAACAGAAAATGAAAAACGTAACTTCGATATATATATCTGGTTAAGAGAAAGAATCTATATTATTCTACAAACCTAGAAGAGAAAGAAGAAGAAAATAAGAGAAAAAAACGAATTTTTCAAAAACTGAAAATTCTTGTGACACATCATATTGTGCATTACTTTGATTTCCATCTTTTACATATTATAGCTATACATATAGATAGATATAGATGTTTCTTTTTTCGGATTTTTCATTGCGAAATTATTGCTTCTTATATATTTTTCAGCCTTAACATTCTGAAACGGAAAAGCAAAGAAATTTTAAAGTCAACTTTTTTCCTTCTTCTTCTTCCTTTGTTGGGATCGATGTACACATGTTTCATCAACCAACGATCTTTTCTGTATATAACTAAATCTCGTCTAGTATCTGTACATCTGTGCATATTCTCGTCAAAAATGATATAGACGTAAAATTTTTCTTCTCTTTTTTATTCGAAACTAAAAACAAAAAATCTAAAACCTCTACTCAATATATATCTACATGCATTGAGAGACATACATCCTCACGAATTATAAGCAGCAGTAACTTGATTTTTTGCCTCTTTTTTTCGTGTTCGATACAATAGAGAAAGATATTTTAAATACAATAACAAAGAAAGAAATATAAAGAGATATTACGACCAAAAATTTTTTGCACATTAGATATATAATTTTGTCTACTTAAAAACTAAATCTCAAATTAATTGATCAGAATGTGTTTCATCGTCAGTGTAAGTTTACAATACTTGAAACCTTTTTGAAAATGTGATTTTAAGCTCTTTTTAATGGTGCTCTCTGTATATGACGACTTGGTTACTGTCATAGGACGTTTTCGCTTTTGCTCTGAAAATCGATTTTTAGTGGATCTGATTTATACTCAACAGTCATTACACGAGAAAAACGTCTCTCTAAGACCATATGACTATTCAATGATATTCGTAGATTTCAATAAGAATGTTGCCTACTGTCAAAGTTGAATGATCAAAAGTTTCAAATCAAACTTTATTACAATGACAACATCGGAATAGTTTTGACGACTAGGCTTTTCCAGCAGTGTCCAGTTCTACCATTTCACGGAAATTCTTAGAATTGGCAGAATTCCACACATTCAAATATATACCGTTACTAAGATTTTGTTCAGAATCTGGTTGAATTCTGATAGAATTTTAATTCTAGTTCAAACTAGAATATGATCAGAATTGGATCAGAATTTGGTAGAATTACAGCAGAATTGAACTCGAATCAGCCAGTTCGCAGAGAGAATCTATATAGAGTTATATTAGTTCACGCTTAGAATTCTCTACGAATTGGCAGATTCTGATAGAATCAGAATTCGAGTTCTACCAGAATCTAACCAGAATTGCACCGGTATCTGCCAATTCGTTGAGTGAATGTAAAAGTGGGGGTGAGATGAGGGACATGAGGGTGAGTACTAACACTCTCAATTCTGGAATTTCCACGTAACTGTGAAACTTGATACCACTCGCATCATGTATACCTATGAAATAATTTGAAGTAGTTAACGATCGTTAGAACGCATTAAATATGGAAATAATCAAATGTTTCATATTTAAGGTGTTTAAACAGATTAAATTCCTAAACTTAACGTTAATGAACGTGTTTTCGAAAAAGAAACGATGAGAACAGCGCTCATACTCGTTAACTTCTAAATTTTAATACGTTTTAGAGATCGATAACATTCTTGAATATCTTTTAATCGATATCTGCGAACATCTTCGACTAGTCATATGGGCTTTAAAGCTACTTTCACACACTATGACTCTCACATCTCTTTGAAATTTGAACTATGAAGAATTATTTTCAAATGGACTTGTAAGCAATTCATGAAGCGTCTTTTAAAGTCATGGAAAAAGGTGATTGATCACCTATGCGAGGATCATCGCCGTCTTTTTCCACCTTACTTGGACTTCTAATAGTATTTGGTTTTCGAAATTGTATATAAAACCAAAGATATGAGGAGGGTACAAATGAGCTAACTTGATGTCCTGAAGCGTTGTCATGAAAGTATTTCGAGAATAAGATCCTTTCTCTTGTTTTTTTAGGGCGAATTTCAACATTTTGATGATAAGCCACTGTCAATTGATTAGAATATTCCTTCTCTTATAAACTTTGATGAGAAAGAGACAGTTCAGGGTCAGAGGCATACTGAAGGTCTGGTTCCTTTAGAGGCCGAATGAAGAGGAGAGAAACAATTTTTCTTGCGATTGAAGTATGAAATGTAACTTTTTATACCGTTTGATAGTCAAAGTCCAAGATTTTCAAAGACTTTCAATGATGAAAAAATTTATTTGAAATGATTCGCACTTGTCTTCTGCTTTTACGACTCTGTCTCTGGTTTGAGTCTTCTTTTCTTAGTTAGTTTCATGTACTCGTATATTGTTTCATTTTGCAATGCCATGTTTTGTGAACTTTTCGTTAGCATAAGGTTTTTATATTTTTCAAAGTAAAGTAGCCACCTACGTAGTATTTCTGATTGATAATTAATCTTTTCTATTCTTTATTTGATTTTATATAAATATATGCGCAGTTGATTCAATTCACTTTACTAACAGCTATCCATCATTCAACTAGATTAGTTAGTGAAAAGGTAGAGAGAATACACACATCTTCACGAAGTCAATGTGGCGACTTATTTTCATCAGAATAACATGTACAAAGAAATAAAAAGAGAAAAGAATAACGTATTTCTGAAATCATCAATGATCACATCATGATATTGACAAGAACATTAAGAAAAAGAGAAGAGACCTCTTACATACTGTACAATTCAACCTCCGCGCTCCCGTTGAATGAAATGATGTATATTTGTGTGAGTTGAGGTGTGTGTGTGTGCGTGTGTGAGTGCATGTTTTATTTCAAAACCGAAAGATATATCTTTTACTATACGGATAGATATAATAACATACACATAGATAAATCGTGATCGTAAAAAAACGAGTTTTTTTCCTTGTAGGTAAACCCATACTTTTTTCTTCTTTTTAAAACGGTGATTGAGACGAAATGAAGAAGATCACGAAAAAATGTCCTCCGTCCTTCGTTTCGTCTTCTTTTCCTTTATTTCTTAAATGCATCATATGTGCATCAACGATGACACGTATAATACCCAATCATTATCATCAACAACATTGCTGCACAGAAGAAGAAGAAAAAGATAGAAAAAGAGTACAAAATACAAGTACAAAGAAAAATTGACTATTTGAATGATAATGAAAAAATGTTACATTTTTTTTAAACAACCCATATATTTCACTTTTTTAGTTACTTCAATCAGTGGCTTGGAAACAGAAATTCCCTGTGTGTGTATTGTTGATTGATATTGTTATGCTTTTTAGAAATCTTCAAATTTTCAAGAATTTACTGAATAGGAGAAAATTATTACGTACTAGAATAGGTAGTAAGAGATAGCAATGCAAAATCTTTCTTCGATATATTAGCATTTTATTTTTTACTTTTGAATTGATCAACATTCTGAAATCATAAATTCAAATACAAATTCTTTCAAAGCCGGTTGTATAGATTTATAAATTGTAGTGTTGAGTTTCAGCACACAATCTTAGTATATTTTATGAACATGTGACCATCTTTTTCTCTCTTTATAATGAGAAACAGCAAAACGCTAAACATCATTTCAAAAATATTTTAAATTTACAGACATTAATGCTAATTGTTTCAGATTTTGTCGCACTGCAAAGAATTTCTTGTTCGTATAATCAGTAAGAAATGAGGAAGAGGAAAAAATTATTGCTAGGGTGGGGTGTATCAACATTTTTAGGTGAAAGATACAGATTTGATTTCTGTTTTTTTTTTCTCGCTAGTTTAAGCTAATCCATCAAAGCATATTTTTAATTGGCACGTCTAAAATGAAATTCTTAGTATATGAGAAAAGAAAAAAAAGAAAGATGTGAAGCACGTATAATATGAAAAAAAAAAGAATTATTTTTAACATTGTTATCAGTCGAAGAATGAAAATAATATATATATGTATATTTTTATTTTAAAAGATAGAGATTATGCATGATATACGTTGTTGAGTTGCACGTTTCTGTTATCATATACACAGGATACCATTGAATGAGTAAAAAGCAAGATCTTTCAAAATAAAATAATATTTTATTTATGTTTTTTGTTTCTACATATTTATAAACACTCATGTTTTTTAGAAATTAATTTGTATCGTATACATACACATTTGAAAAATTCTGAACATTATATTTTTATTTTATTTTAGATTTGTAACATTGTCTAAATGAATGCAAGTTTGAAAACATCGTCGATAATAAATACTCAGGTAGGAGAGCATCGTCAATAGAAGACATCTCAATAATTGTTGAAAAAGTTGTTAACGATCAATTAACAATTATACATATAATCAAGTGAGTGTAAGCGAGCGTTATCAGAAGATTAAATAACGTTTCTTGGCGCATTACACAAAGATTAAAACTTACTGTAAGCTCTAAAATTACAGTATTAGACTAAAGATAAGGGATACGATTTCCTTGACAAAAAATTTCATTTATGTCTTTGTATAAATCAAAGCAAGATTTCTTCTTCTTCGCTATTCATTCGCATCGATGAACATGATTTGTATAAAAAAAGGTGCGGCGTAAGCTTTTTACCTATACCTGTAAACAAAAAACAAAAAACTTTCTTCTCCTTCTGTTGTTGAATGGGGGAATAACGAAAAAAAGGTTGTTGATTATATACAAAGATAGGTTCGTGAATGAATGTGATCAATAACAATTCATTATTATCCTAAAACGCCATAATCTATACTGAAAAGATGTCGTATACTATATAGTTTAAACATTTTTGTGTGTTTTATTTCTGAAGACATGTCGGATGCTACGGCTTACATCTGCCCTGTGTGTGTTTACAATTCAGATAATCTTGAAGATTTAGAAGCACATCTATCTGGTAAGTGATACTTGATGTTTATATCCATCTGGTATTATGAAATAAGTGTATATATGTATTTGTGCATTATAGCTGTTCATGAATGTTCAGAAACATCAAAAGGAAATAAATCAGATAAAGTTGAAAAACGGTCATTATCAGTCGATCAATATAATGAAGTACAGGTAAAAAAATTTACAGATCCAATTTTGAATTTGAGAGTGAAAGAGATATCATTCATTTGGTCAGCGGAAGACGTGAGAAATCTATTGTTGTATTTCCGTCATATAGAAAAATTGCAATATTGTGATAGTATGATTTCCTGCAGTAACAATGTCTTATGTAAAACTATGCGGTACCTTGATATTCACACTCTTATGTACTGTTACTCATTCTGAGAAATTGAACGTCAAAATTATTTTTATCTCCGTTTTTTAGCCGATGTCTCTGTTATATGACGAAACAAATCGTATGTAGAAAAGAAAAGTGTTCATATTTTTCTGAGCTTACTATGAGGTATTTCACGTCTTGTAGCAGTTGTCACCACAAATTCCGTAAAACGTGTTAAAAGGGAATTATCCGCTGTCCTCAATACCACAGCTTACATTAATTTGAATGATGACGAATCATCACAATTGGAAAATGAAGAAGGAGAGGATGAAGAAGAGGAAGTTGGAGAAAATGATGATGGTGAATGTGCAAGAGATGAAGCGAAAGAAGAAGACTTAGCATCATCAAGATTAACTTGCCCAATATGTCAATCAACTTATCGACGAATTGGACATTTAAGGAGGCATATGGAACGAAAACACAATATTGAAACTTTAACAGCCAATAGTAATGATCTGAGACAACAACAAATGACATATGATACCAACCAAATTAAAGAACAATCATTGAATATGACTACCGATCCACCGTCAACATGTCAAACATCTCCACCATCAGGTAATTTTAAGAAGACTTTTGTGACCAAAATACTAGTTCATTTTTAAAATTGAAATAAAAATTGAATGAAACAAATGTCATCTTTATTTAGGAAGCGATTCTCTACTAATAAATGATTCAATTACTGAATGCCCCTATTGTGAATATAAAACAAATGATATTGAACAATTCAAACTTCATATAGCTGCACATATTCGTGATAAAAATTATCGTTGCTTATTATGCAATCGTTTATATAAATATCGTGGTGAGCAAAACTAAGTCTTCTCAAACACAAATTCTTTCCACATTTTGTTAATGATTCTATTTTTTCTCTTTTTTTAGGTGATTGTTCATTTCATATTCGACGAAAACACCATCGTTATAGCACAAATTCAAATGATTATATTCAACGTTTTCTATTCGATACTGCTGATGATGAAACAAATAATAATAACAATAATAATAACATTAACGGTACAGCGAATAGCAATGGCAATGACGCGATCGGTATAAAAGATAGTTCAGCAAATGATAATGATTTATCTATGCCGTCAAGGTATTTTGGTTGTCCCTATTGTGATTATACATCGAATTATGGTGGAGATGTGAGAAAACATCAAGCACGAAAACATCCAAATTTTGAATCGAAGGTAACTAAAATAATTCGGCAAGAGCAACAACAGCAAAATATCGATTTAAATGGACATGAAAGTGATTGTCAACAGTGTGGTTCAAATGATGATGAACGATTTCAACAGCGAGAAATTGGACAGCAAAAGGAAGAGATGATATCTAATGAAACAGTACATTCGAAAGGCAATCATAAAATAAAAAAGAGGGTAGCACCTGAATTATTTGTGCAAAGTATGGATCAAATTATACAACAAACAAAATTACCGTTACTATCAAACTATGCACCAGTACGTGTATTTCAATGTAGTTGTTGTCATCAACAAGGTCAGTAGATAATTCGAATCAATATTTCATTTGTTTTAACATTAATTATTTTCTTTCATATTTTTGTTTTTTGAAAGGTACATACAAATGGGTTGTTGAGAGACATATTCGAGCAAAACATCCTGATATGCCTGATGTTAAAGTAATTGAATTACCAGCCGAATTAGCTGTTAAATTACAAAGAATAACACCATCATTAAAACGTTTTCGTTGTTCATTATGTCCACTACAATCAAAACATACATGGGTTATCATCCGACATATTAAACATTTTCATACATTACAAACAGCTACTGTTTTGGATATATTACCAGAAAATGATACATCATCGATAAATCCCAAAACAACCAAGGAACAGTTTTCATATATGAATGGTAAGATGATGTGGAATGTACGATGATATGAAATTTTTTTATAGATTTATTAATGGAAATCCCAAAAGATGTTGTTGACTTATAGACAACTGAATAAGTATTTTTAGTTTTGAATTTTCAAATGGAAATAAGATGGACTTACTCAGCTAATTCGAAGTGACGTATCCTATTCCAGTCACACTTATCGGATGTCGCAGACAAAATCGGATACTTTTGTTCGTTGTTTTTAAGATACCCAGTGGTCCAAAGAGTTCGTCTTTGGTCAATCGATAGAGAATTGAATTCTCTAGAAAACTTGCCATTTGAATCTCTGATAGCATTTTTTTCGTTTGAACATCGTTCAAAATATTGAAGGGTACTGAGTTGTCGAACTGCGATGTGCTTTTGTCGCCTCCTTTTTTGAGATTTTAGCCTATTGTCTGGAGTTCAACAGTCAATTTTTCTACGTAGAAAGATAGAGAATTTGTGTTCTATCTATCTCACTCATTTACAACTTCATACAATGTTTCCGCTATGTCAGCTGGACTCATAATTAGTTCTCAACCAGCTTTTCAGTTTTTTTAGATTAAATTAATTTTTTAATTAATAATTTCAATTGAAAAACTCTGCGTATAGATCAAAAGATCCAGAATTTAATCCTGTGTAAGATAATAAGACTAAAACCATGGATTCGGAACGTTTTACTTTTAAAGTAAAAAAACTAGAGTCTGTGAAAATAGGTTCAAAATTAGGTTTTAGCTTTTTAGTTAGGTTTTTTAGATTTATCAGTTTTTTGCGCAAAGAAATTTTTCTAGAAGACTTAACTGCAAAGTTTCGAAAAATATGTGAGAAGATGCAGAATTTTCCGGTGAATCTTCTGATTTTTTCAAAATTCTTATGGAATCTGTTTTTGGATCAAGACAAATATTTTTCTATTGTCAGTGTATCGCAGTTCGACAACTCGGCTTCCTTCAATATCTTGAATGATGCTCAAACGAGAAAAATGTTATTCTTCAAATAGATTCAAATTCTCTGATAGACCTTAAAACAAACTCTTTGGATCACTGGGTAGTATCTCAAAAACAACGAACCTAAAAGTGTTCGACTTTGTCTGCGCCACCCGATAGAATTTTGAAGTGTATGATCCTAATGAGTGAGTAATGAAGGAAAATAAAGGAAGTGAGAGACATCTCCGTCTGTTAAAGAAATAAGATGGATGCAGTTCAAAAAGAAAGCGAACATCTTAAGAAAAGATGGATAGAGTCGTCCGTCTTAAATTAAGTCTGAAGAAAAAAAATAAGATGTACATCATAAGATGCTTTTTTTAAGGGCACATAGAGATGTAATTTCTGATGAAGAAAAAGGATTCATCATCTTCGAAATATAAGGATTCTCGTCTCTACGATTGTTGTAAACGTACACACTGTAGTATTCGATTTCTACACAGTCTGTGCTCAGTACCACAGATCAATAACACTAGACGAAAGGTGTTTGCTTCTTGAAATAACATGTTTCTCTCTCCCCTTCTCTGTCCAAAATTTATACTTCTATACTTCTATACGATGCGATTTATTACTTGCAGAGGAATATTCCGATGAAAAAGTTGTTAAACAATATAATACTGAATCGAATTCGTCATCAGTTAGTAGTACGTGTACCGATACAGAATTAAAACGTCATCTAACATCGTCTACATCGAATTTAATGAAAATAAATTCACTCGAAAATGAATTGAATGGATTGAAAAAAGAATGGAATGATGACATGAACGATGAGGAAGAAGAAAGCGATAGTGGATGTTTTCCTATTAAAGATAATTCCACGATGAAACTGGAACAAACAAATTTTTCAGCAACGTATACCCATCAATGTTCATTATGTGAATATCAATCGAATTTATTGAGTAAAGTACAACAGCATTTACAAGAACAACATGGTAATCAGACAGGTGGTCATGTATTAACACATTGTACGAGCACTAATTATGAATCAAAAGAAATACGACCATATCAGCAATCGAAAACATCAGCCAAAAAATCCATATATACAAAAAATGATATAATGATCACAACAGCAAAAGGAATTACTCGTTCATTATCGCCATCAAGTGCATTAGCCAAAGCAAAATTTTCACCAGCTGTTGAAGAAGCCCTACTTTCATTACAAGGTTCAAAGTCATCTGGTTTGTATGTCGTACAACCAAAGTTTGGTATTAAACGTTTGAAATGTCGACATTGTTTTTATCGATCAAATTGGAAAACGGATATGATTCGACATGTACGTATTCGACACAATATGACAGAGCCAGATCATAATAAAGATATGATTATGATGACTGAAACAGAAGCAAGATCAACAATAGAAACGTATGAGAATACATTTGGAAAAGAATTACGTCGACGAACGTTTCGAACATGGCAAGACTGGGCAAAAGCGGAACAAGAATTCACACCTAAGGATGGATCACTACAATATGTAAGTATTAAGTACTAAATCGAAAAAAATCATCATAAATTTCATTTGTTAGATTTAAATTGTTAGACAACATTTCAGATATAGGCAAGGATCTTAATCAGGATATTTAGAAATATTTACATAGGATCTTAGTTTGAGCATTTACTGTACTGATCTTGTTTTCTATTATAGAGCAAACAGGCCATTAATTCCAATTTATCCGCGATGGAGCAAATGAATTATAATGGTAAACCTCATAATTCATTATTATCAAAATCAAACAGTAAAAAAACGATCGTTACCCACAATGTACCATTAGTATCATCATTATCGTCAAATATTAAACACGAGCCGTATATAGAACGTCTAGATGATAATATTAAACGACGAAAGGATTATATAACAACAGATTTTATTAAAAATGAATTTAAACAAGAGCCACCCGATGTCGTTTGCGTTTTACAACAACATCCAACTCAAATATATTCAACAATGCCAAAAACATCATGGAATGATCCATCAGTATGTTTAATAGAGATTTCTATGCTTTTTCGGTTCGCATTTTCCAAACATATTAAAAATAAGATAATTTATTTCTTGTCTTATTTCTTTTAGCTCAAACAATTACCCAATTATCCATCGAATATTGTCAGTCGTTTATTATTATCATCATCGTCTCCCCCTCTTAATTTTTCATCACAAAACGATGATTCAGCCGATGTACCTCTAGATCTATCACTTAAAACAGCCACGACAACATTAACTCAATCGGATGCAACTACATCAGAAACATCATATGACGTTGATATATCAGATAATAATGTGCAACATCAACTCAATGATCAATTAGCATCCTCATTACCACGAAACTTTGACTCATGTTCTTTATGTCCATTTCAACATAGAAATCCATTGATCATGGAACGTCATCTATCATTACATCTATATGGTAAAAGTTATCAATGTTCACTATGTAATTATACATCAAAATTACGATCAACAATTCAAAAGCATTGCTTATCTACTCATCCTGATCAACAAGTAAAAATATTACAAACGTCAAGAAATTCAAATGCTAGAATGAAATCACCATCATCAGCGTTAAATCATGATACAGATGACGAGGAACAGATATGTTCAATATGTCCATATAAATGCTATGATCGTCAATTATTTGAAAAACATTTGAAACATCATAAACAACTTTTGAAATATAAATGTAATCATTGTAGTTATTACGTTAACCATGAACGTATGTTAAAACAACATGAATTATTACATATGGATAATAGCGGTAATGATGGAGACCAATTTTTCAATTCAAATTCAGACCTAGAAGAGAACGATGATGAAATTGAGGAGCAAGAAGACATAAATACTTCTCATAAACCTACCTCAAAAAAACTGGCAATATCAGGAGATGATTACGAATGTCCCTTATGTGGAAAACAACAAACGAATTTAGAACAATTTACACTTCATTTACATTCCCACAATCAAAATAACAATCAATGTCCATTTTGTTCTTATTTATCACCATCAAATAATTTAATTATTGAACATATTAAATTACATTTTAACGGTCATTTAACCGAACCAGATTTATTATTTGGCATTGAACGTGTTAAAGAGTTATTAGAACAACCATGACATCGTCTGCGTACACTGATGTTTTTCGAGTTCACACATTATTTTATATATTCAATATTTTTAATTTTTTTTTTGGTGGTAGTTTGTTTCTTTTTTCACAACCGTTTCTATCATTGTTTTCCATTATTTTTTTCGAAAAAAAAACAGTATTATAATTGTGTTATTATTTTCTTTCCCAAGATTTTTTTCCAGTGAAGTCAGTTGTTTATGTTTTTTTTGCTGTTGTTACTGTTATGTCATTTTTTGTCTTGTTTTTTCTGGCGGTTTTTGCAATTTTTAACATTTTTACTTTGATCAATCAAGAGAAATAAGAAAGTGGTGTAATATATTTCATTGAAAGCTAAGAACTAGCGCATTCTCAAAATTATGAAAATTCACAATAACCTTGAATAAAAAGTAGGAGCACGTAGTAGTGCACAAAACAAATCATAGTCTGTGATTTTGTCGAGGTTGATTTTAAAACTAAACGATTTATTCTTTCCAACAAATAATAACAACAACTATTTTATAAAACTGAGGAGACGCACATGAGAAGTTTAAAAAAAATATGGATTGTCTCTTGGACAAAACGGAAGACAATTGTTTACATACAGAACAAAAATACTTAAGTTTATCAATGCAGGCAGTACGTCATCACAGAAGAATCTTTTACACCGTATTATTTGTTTTAGAAGTGAGATTTAAGCGTGGGTTATAGTTCTTGTATTGTTGAATTATATAACCTTTTATTTCTGTTATTTTTTTGATGATTAAGCTATCATACTGAATTATTTGTGTCTAAAGAATACTTAGTTGTTATATTACTACCATTTTATCATTTTTATATGGATGAAGAAGAGGTAAACGCTTCTTTCAAAAACTAAAATTTGATTCTTATTTTACTAATGACCATTTATTATCGTTTTCTGGATAGTATTGTGTTTTATCCTAACTATTTCTTTTAAAAAAAACTCATATCAGGAAACAATACAAATCCTGCAAAAAAAGATTCTCTAGATGATGAAAGCGCACTCGTATTCAAAAAGTTATTGAAACAATCAAAATCATTGTTATATCGTCATATGATACTGCATTTCAACTGACCGACGCTTATATTTCCGGATTGATGTAGCACGCTTGTCAATTGTCCAGCAATACTACTTGGATGCTTAATACATGAGACAAAGTGTGAGAGCGATCACGATATTTTTATACGTCAACTTCAACTTTTAATACCAGAAATCGATACCAAATGCGTAGTAGTGACCGACGATGAAACGGCGTTTCAAAATTCGTTCAGAAAGTTTTTTCCTCATCTGTGATTGTTGCAATATTGGAATCATAAAATGACGAATATACGTCATTTAATGTATAAAGCACACAAAAAGAAGCAAAAAAAAGAAAAAGGATGATAATGTTGTTGAACCAGGTATCGATTCAGTATTTGTACAATTAAGTACGATCAATGATGAACATTCGTGCGAATCGTACAAATGTCAGCATCGCACAGTGCAAAGCTAGATCAAGTGATGAATTATCAGATGTTGAAGATGAGATTATGCACGAAATAACAATTTAGCGTGCAGAAATTAAAACCCTATGCTACTTACTGACGATAGATCGGGAATATTTATCAAGATACCAATTATTGTGACCATTCGGGCATGCTGTTGTTTGTCTCACCGACAAAAGACTAAGTGTTTGTGAAAATTGAAGTGTGTTCTCGATAGAGTTTGTGCAACCGGACCATTCACGTATTGTCATATCATCAACTTTTGATAAAGGAGGAACAACTACGGTTAGACGATTAGTTTGAGAATAGCGTAATGATCATCTGAACATACTCACAATTATATATCACGCATGCAAAAGTTCAGCTACACTGATCTTACTCATAGACGTTAACTGATATTGTCAACCAAGTAATACAATTATTACACTGGATAGTTTTAGTTGTGCTTAATATTGGGTAATCTGACTTATATTATTAAGCTCAACGTTTCGTTTTTAACATTACTTAATTCATTAATAACAGATCATCCAATACCTGAATGTGTTTTTTGGGACAATTTTTCTCTTTATTGTCTATTTTCTTTCTGCGTAATGTATTCTTCTATCCTAAAATTATTTATTCTTTCGCACATACCTCATCTTTCCGTTCTGCATAATGTACTGACCTCTACTTATGTCCTGTCCTGCTTTCGCCGACATCTTCTATTGACATTTATGATTACGAGTATAAATCAGATTTTTTTCTATTTAGTTGTGTTATACTCTGTAGTATAGGATGTGACTATTATGTACAAGTATCGGGGGCTACAATTCATTAGTATCACTGACTGTGGCGCTTTCATTTTTCAGCAACAGAGAGGATTATAGTCGATCTTTAATTCGTTTACCGTTTCCAAATTGCGTGTAACATGCTACCGACAAATAATACCGAAAAATAAAAGACAAACTTGAACATACGATCAAATTGTTTCTTCAGATGATTTGTTTGAGTTTCCCGACGAATACACGAGATTTTGAGTATAGTAGATTTTCTCCCCATTTTCGATTATATTATTAATCAATAGGAAGCAAAAATTTGTGTTCTGCAATTTTAAATAAATCATACAAATAAACCCTCACCCTCACCCTATAAATCATGCAAAAAACATTAGCCATGGAGAAATTTTGTCGAAGTTTCACAACGTTGGGATCGTGCAGTTGCAACATCAAATGCGTGGTCACGTGTGAACTTTCTATAATTTCACAAGCGAGAATGTCTTTTCACGTGTGTCCACACACCGTTTTACGACTTTCACTAGTGATCATGTGCGAAAAATATGACGCGAAAAGGTTCCGTGAGTAGTTTACGCGTTGTCACAAGTGGAATATATTTTTTACGCGTGCCCACACCAGTTTACGATGTTCATGTGCAATCACAGTTTATTTCACGATATTCACGAATGTACACACCGTTTTCTATACTAAAAATTCCCCATCGTTAGCTTTGCTCACTGCTTTTTAAACGAGCTATTTTTTTTACAGATTATCATTTCTACATTTTCGTTGTATTCAAATATTATTTTGAACAATGCCGATTGCTGAGCCAAATACGAAAAATAAGCTCGGACTTACTTTGCCCGAAGTACCACGTGACAATATGGAAAATCATAATGAAAATGGGTAATTATTTAATGTCTGTTATTGTTTTCAATCATTTATCATTCCCAGGGGCGCCCCGATAAGGGAGAGCAGGGAAGGAATGTTCCCCTGCTTTTTGAAAAAATTTACTCCGAAAATTGGGCCTTTGACTTACGAGAATATCCCACGGAGTAAAGCGTTTACTCGTATTTTCAGAGTAAGACAATTACACTCATTTTTAGAGAGTAATAAAAGTAGAGTATTAAAGTCTTAGTCTTAGTTTCGTAGTTAGGAATTTACTCTCTCTTCAAAAGTAAGATATTTACTTCTATTCTCGGAGTTTGACACAGGCCCGTAGCCAGAATTTTTGCGAAGGGGGATCGACTTTTTTTCTTTCATAGATAGTGTGAAGTCTTATCACGTAGCAACTTTTTCTGATGGGAGTCAGTGGAAAAAAATCATTTTTTCAAATGTCCAGAGGGGGGCGTTTTTCCCAAATCCCTCCCATGGCTACGGCCCTGGTAAGACATAGACTTCCGTTTTTAGAGTAAAGTATTTGTTTTTTCTCTTTCTGCGTTTGATAGAAAATAAAATTTCTGTCATGTACATAAATAAGATAAGATAAGTAGAATAGACTGTATCATGGCTTCAGTAAATGTATTTTTATATTATAAGGTGTTTATAAGGTGCTTTTATATTATAAGGTTTTGTGCTGAAGTAAATAGAGTTAAATAGAAGGAAATTCAGTCTTACTTTGAAAGAAAACTGCTTAGAATATTTCTTTCTTTTAAAGTTTTATTCCAATTTTTAAAAGCATATAATAATTTACTTCGAAATTGACTTCGCACCCCCTGCCTCCGAGGTATCGGGGCGCCCCTGATCATTCTAATGTTTTTTGTTTCGATTCTTTTAGCGTTCAAGAGGTGTGCATTGAAAGATTAAAAGAAGAGTTTAATCAACTAGATTGTACAGATAAACAAAAAGATCGAATGGAAGAATTTTTTAAATCAAAACAAGCTGTTGGAGAATTGAAACAAGATGATTTAGTCAACATCTGTGAACTTGGTCAAGGAAATGGTGGTGTGGTATGGAAAGTTCGACATAAACCAACTGATAAAATAATGGCAAGAAAAGTAAGCATAAAAAAAACTATTCTCTAAAATAATAGTTTGATTGCTTTTTCTTTACTCCCGTTTATTTGATTTGATGCTTAATATTTGCTTATTTTATTGTCCTGTGTCTTGTAGTATTATTCTGGAAACTTTTTTCTTTCTTATGATTACAATTATCTTGATGATGTACGAAATCAGGTAGAAAAAAACCATAAAATGTTAACATGCATGTAATGCATTTGTGTTTAAATATTTTGTACGTATGTTAATTAGAATTTATTGAACAATAGTTGTTAATTCCAATATACATAAAACATACATTTTTCTAGTTGAAGTTTTGTATTAAAATTCTTACGTCGTCAAAAATTTGGACATTAGATTCTAACAGAAGAGATTAAAGATCGATTGTTATATTATCAACAAGATACGTGCATGTTAAGAACAATTCTATTTGTTTGGTTTCATTTCTTTTCGTTCTACTAACATAGTAACATATTTTGCTATCACTATTTACAAGCATAAAAATTTAATAGTTGTTTAAAATTTTTCGTTTGTTTTTTCATTATTTTAGTTGATATATTTGGAAGTTAAACCCGCATTGAAAAGTCAAATTATTCGTGAACTAAAAGTTCTTCATCAATGTAATTCACCATATATTGTTGGATTTTATGGTGCGTTTGCTGTCGAGGCACAAATTAGTATTTGTATGGAATATATGGTAAACACAATTTATCTTGTTTATTTATTATATTTATTTAGAATAATTTATTTCTTTTAATAGGATGGTGGATCATTAGATTTGATATTAAAAAAAGTTATGCGTATACCAGAACATATACTTGGTAAAATAACTGTTGCTGTAAGTATAAAAACTTATAAAGGAACTTCTACTAACTAGTTAATAAACTCTCTTATTTCTGAATTCATTCATATACAGATAGTCTTATTTCTTTTAGGTGCTGCGTGGTTTGAGTTATTTACGTGAAAGGCATCGAATTATGCATCGCGGTCAGTCTATAAAAAAATACTTAAGTTTAGATTAGAAGAACTGAAGATAATTTTTATTCTATTTTAGATATAAAACCATCAAATATTCTTGTCAATCAGCAAGGTACGATTTGTTGGTTAAGATATTTTTGTTACTTGAATTGATAGCTGCATGTTTTTTATAATCTTACTTAGGGTTCACTCTTTTATAAAATATATCCCCTTGTTTGCTAGTTCTCTAATCTTTGTTGTTTAAAGATAGATAATGAAATTAACTGTTTGAAGACGTCACTAACAACTACAAGAGACACAATACATAGACTAATATCTTTGATTTTAACTAAAACATTGATTAATCGAATCAATACATATCTAGTCAGGATCGTTCATTCCAATAAACTTCTCATCATTCCCTTGTATTATATCTGCATTTGATTTGATTTTAACTGATCAAATGGTCAGACGACATAATTCTAAAAAAAGGAAAACAATAATTTAGAGCTCTTTCATTATTTCAGGTGAAATTAAATTATGTGATTTTGGAGTGAGTGCACAATTAATCGATTCAACATTACATACATTTATTGGTACAAGATCGTATATGTCTGTATGTACTATTGAAAATGACCAGTTCTAAAAAAAATTGTATTAATCAATATATTTACTTTTATTTAGCCTGAAAGATTAGAAGGAACTCATTATGGTATAATGTCAGATATTTGGAGTCTCGGACTATCACTCGTCGAAATGGCTGTTGGACGTTATCCAATACCGCCACCATCTGTACAAGATATTGATGCATTATTCAAAGAAGATCCACATGGCTGCCAATCAAGACCAGAAGGTATGCTTGATAGTGATAGTAGACCTGCATGAATTTGCTTAGAATGATTACTCAAAAGAAAAGAAATAAAGAAGCATGTTGCTGTTCTAATAGACTTTAAGATGAAAAATATTCTTTATTTAAAGGTTTTGGTTGTCATAAAGGTTTGGCGATATTCGAGTTGATGGAATGGATTGTAAACGAAGTAAAAAATTTTTTGATTTAGAACATTTGTTCGTGAACAATCACTAATTTGTTTTTTCAGGCCCCACCTGGTTTAGCTCGCGAACATTTTTCATCTGATTTTTGTGATTTTATTGATCGATGGTACGTTATTTTGCATGTTAGTTCTATGCGAAGTATTAATTGTATGAAAGTTTTTTTATTTTAGTTTAAAGAAGAGTACCTCAGAACGCGCTGATTTAAATACGTTATTGGTATGTTTATAGCTTTCGCTTTTTCTTTCGAGTATATTTTTAATTTTTTTATTTTAGAATCATTCATTTTACAGACGATATGAAAATGAAATTGATAATCAAGATGTGGCAATATGGATTCAAAAAGTCTCAAAATATGATATTAACAATCATCGTTTTAACAGTCAGATTTCAGAATATTGATCTTATTTTATCATTTAAAGATTTTGCAAACACAGAAAAGCAACGAACTAATTTACTTTGTTGTATTTTGTTTTGTAAGTGTACGTCAGTGATTTTAAAAAATATATAATTGTACAGTTTGTTTATCGTTCTTTTATTTTCTCTCTTTTTATATGAACTTTGTCGTACGTAACAATTACCTTTATTTTAGTCGTCTTTATATCGTGTAAGATTGAATTTGATGTTCGATCGCTTTCCTTTCCTATATATATTATATATATACAATACTTTTTAACATAAACAGTGAGTTGTTTTTCTTCCGTATGTTTGTATATTTAACTTTTATCTTTTCGTTCAACTAGGGACGGTTATGTTCCTATTATTATGTTTATCGTTGTTGTAGTTTGTAATCGTGAGAATTTGTTTTTTACATACATTTTGGTTGATGTTAAACCGTTAGAAAAAAAAACAAAAAAACATGAATACACATCCCAATTTAGTTTAGTCTTTTATGCGTTGCCTGTTGATCAGTTTACAGCATATATGTGCGTAAATATGACTGTATTAGTTTCTGAAAGTTTATCTTTCTATAATATCTTTTTATTCATATCATAGATGTCAAATGAAAATAAACAATCAACAAATGATAATGATAATTTAGCAGATGAACAACAACGGACACGACCAATTGGTGCTGTACTAGGATGGTTAAATTTGGGCTCTGTATCGCCTAGGCAACCGACATCAGCAGCACAGTCGATATCCGGTGCTAATAATAACGAAGACAGTATTCCTGGTATGTTTAATTATTCTCAGATGAACAATAAACGAGACAAATGTGTTTTTTTCATTTTCTAGGATCTCCGCCACAGTTTGTTGAATACAGTCAGCTTATGGAAGCAAATCGAAATGCCCAAAATCTGCAATTAGCGCATGAAATTGTGTTTAATAAAGATTTTGAACTTCAATTACCAGACTATGAAAAAGGAAGTCTGGCAGAAAAAGTTCACAATACTATACATACTGCTTTTTGGAATGTACTCCGTGAAGATTTAGAAGCAAAACCACCACGTTATGAACATATTGTTGATTTAATTGGTGAAGCTAAAGAAGTACATAATATTTTCGTGTTGTAAAATATTTAGTATATAATTTAGCTTCGATTTTTCTAGGATCTTAAATCATTGACACTACCACATCAAATAACATTAAAACAACAGATTGACGAAGCAGTTAATTTAGAAATTGTTAAAAAGAAATTTCAAGCTAATGCTGTAGATCCGAATGAATATACAAAATATTTTATTGATATGATGAGTTCTCTGTGTGCAGAGTGTCGTGATGAACAAATAACAAAATTGAAAATGCTTAGTGATCCTGTTGAATGTTTTCGGTATGTTTTCTAATTTAAATGTGACAAGAAAGAATAATTTTATTATATGACTTTAGAGGCATAATGGAACTATTGAATTTAATGAAACTTGATATGGCAAATTTTAACATCAGACACTATCGTCCATTACTGCAACAACAATCTGTTAATTATGAAAAATCAACATTTGAAAAATTTTTAGAAGCTCAACGAAGTATGTATTACAAAATTATGTTTGTCATTTTACTGATGTAGAAGATACAAGAAGTTTGAAAATGTTTGTTTAAAGTTTGCAGTCTAATGAATGTTAAATGTTTCTGTAATGAAACATTTAATGTTCGTTATAGCTGGTCGATTTTTCAAATTTTGATTTTTCAGAAACTTGCAAAGAACTTGTTTAGAAATTTTTGTTTGTAAAGAATATCGTTTGCGTTTGATCTTGGTAAACTGAAATTGTCATAAACTAGTTATCTAAACGAGTAAACGAGTAATGCTGTGATTCGAAAAAGAGACAACTGGAAAATTTTCCTCATAATAGCACGCAAAACAAGCCTCTATTCGTACAAAAATGACTTTGTAGTTTTCGAAAGTTTTAGAATACTATGGTGGAGTGTGCACTTTTAAAGAATAAAGCTTAGATCACAAAGTTTTATCGTACAGTCCACAAGGTTATCTATCTTCTGATAATAAATCCCTTTTTTTACAAATTCAGATATGGGTATTGATCCGTTAGCGGCTACTTATAACTGGCTCGAACGTGCGTTTCATCGTGAACAGAAAAAAGAAACGATCGGTTCTTATATTGCACTAGATCAACCTGCTGATAATGTGCTGCCTTTAACAATCTTAAATGAAGCTTATATGGAAATACTTCTTTGGAATCCAACACATCCTTTTCCCGAAGTAAACTGCTTTTTTTAATAAACTAATTATCACAATTTACACATTTGTTTCGGATGTGTAGACATTACAATTGGATGAAATTCGTTTCAATCAAGTTCATATTAGTTCAATGCGTTTACTTATCATTTCAACTATTATGGGAATATTATCGCATATTACTGGTTCAGTTTTGCGTGATTATGAATCATTAAGAACCACATTAAAAGCACAAATGATTATTATTCTAGAAGATTTTCCGCAACGGTATGGCTAAACAAATCATGTTAGCACGTGAATAAACATTATTTGATTGTTGTTATCTTTGATACTAGGAAACTACGTGATTTATTAGCATCACTAGGTGAACAAATAGTGAAAACATCCCGTGAAGAACTTGAAAAATATAATCAAGCAAAAGTTATTGTTGATAATGAACAAATGATCAAAGATTCACTTCAGACAATAGCTGATCATAAGCTAACCGAACATCCGGTATTTAAAGTATTATGTATGTAAAGAAACGTTTTTTGTTGCTTCTCTCCTGTGCATAAGGCATCTTGTATGAGGAAGTTGGTGTAGGTTAGGTTGAGATCGGATGAACTGATTTTGAGAAACTTGGACATTTCAAGGTTCAGCGAAAACAGACATATAGTATCTCCGGATAGTGTTTCTAGAAAACGATTTGTCTCGAGATCTAATTGTGGGTGAAATTTTTCTTTCATTCCATATTTGTTGGTGAACATTTTTAAAGTTAAAAAAGAATTTAAAAAGAAAACCACAGCAAAAAATTGATTCAGCTTGTGCTATGTGCCGTCTAACTTTCTGACAGCTACGATAAGTAACGATAAACCATTTTTGAGATACCATAACGAATCAAAAACTGCTTTTTATTATAAACTTTTACAAAAGATACACAGAAAACTAATTCCTAGAATATTGAAGTTATGGCTATCAAAAGGATTTCGTCAACATTTACGTTTGTTCATCATACTATCGAATCGGATTCTTCAAATTGTTATATCTTTTTTATTGAAAAAAAAAGAAAACTTTCAACTTTAAAAAGTCTAAATTTTGATTCTTCTAAAATTCCAGTGGAGGAAACTAGAATTTGTTTTTTAAATGTGATGTAGACATTTTACATATAATGCGATCATTTAAATATTTCCATTAACAAATATGGAATGAAGGAAAAATTTCGTTCACAGTTAGATCTCGAGACAAACAGTGTCCTAGAAACACTATCCAGAGATATTATACGTCTGTTTTTGCTGAACCTTGAAACGTTCAAGTTTTGCAAAATCAGTTCATCCGATCTCGATCTAACCTACACCAACCTTCTCATACAACATGCATATTATTACTTCTCACCATTGTCCTATAAGAAAAACTGATATCAGTAATTACAATGATTTTTATCTCCTCAGCGTTGATGAAACTATTTAAACAATTCGAAATATTTTTTTTGTAATCAAGTTGAGTGATTCTGATTATCATCGTTAATATAAATGTATTTAGGAACTGATTAAATTTCTCTCACAGAAATTTTTGATTTTTAACTATTTTTTTTTACAGTTAACCGTTATGTAACATTCATCCAACAGCTACTTATTCAGTCAGCTAATTCGACGAGCAGTTCGTTATTGCCAAATGTTGCTATTCCAAATGGACTTACTCTTGTCATGAATGAAGTTATTATAACTGTTCGTCTATTTATTCGTTTGATTACGTATAATAAAATTGTTTTCAGTGAACATTACTCAACAATTATCAAACAAATACAGGAGAAAAAATCTCCTTCCAGTCGTCGTACTCTTCCAGAACAATGAAAAATTTTTGTTTTCCATATTTTGTACTTCTATACTAAAAACAGTACCAATTGAAGTTGAAATATATCTTCAGATATTTTTTTATACAATATTCAATTTTGACGTACTTTGTCCTATCTTTCTTTCTTTTGTTTATTATAAATTCAATTTCATTAAAAAAAAATCAGAATTTATAGTCGGACAATAAATTTCAGTCTTTGAAGGAAAATATGACAATGTTGCTTTAAGTCTATAGCGAGAAATTTTCATATGTATTGATTATTGAGATGAGTTGGTCTACGCTCTATGAGTGATATCAATGATTGAGTTACGTACGGTAGCGCACTTCGCCCAGTAGTGATTTTTTTAAGATGTATGCCATGTGCGTACTTGCGTCAAGTTTTGAGACTCCTAAGGTTTAGGTTGTCTATAAGGACGAAACTCGATGTTGAATAGTCATTTTTTAGTTATTCTGGTGGAGCGATTGAAATTTGTTGATGGACACGAGATGTGATAAGTATTCTTCAAGTTTTCCGAATATTTGATCGAAAAACTTAGAAATCGAGTTTTTGTACTAAAATGAAAGTTCAAAACCAAGTTTCTTTTCTCCACAAAGTACCGCCTTCATAAACACATTGTTTCGATGACGCTGAATTGATGACGATAATTTGCTGATGCTCTGACATATGAGATGAGAACTAGTTGCAAATCGCTGTTTTTTACCTGCCAAAGAGAGTTTAATCATGGGTTTTGGGAAAAATAAATTTTATTAATGCCAACAGACCTCTTGTTTTTCAAGCATAGGATATGTAAAGTAACGTCACGTATAAAGGCGAACGTTGAACATTAAAATTTAATGATGAAGCAAAAAGGTCTTTGACAAATGAAAAACAAACCTTGCTAGAGAGCTGTTCTCCCAAATTTTTCTAATAATCCAACGTATGTTTTTCATGTTAAAAAACAAAAGATTGGTATAAAAATCCTTGCAGCGTTCCTTCCTATCTTACTCAGTAAGGACAACTCTCATCTCGTATCAGTTCAGTTCTACTTTTTTTCTTTTTTCTAATGAACTAGAATAAGGTTTTATCAGTCTAGTTCACGATAAAGCACAATAAAAGAGAAGAGTAACAAACATATGCTGAACAAACAGGCACTAACGTAAAGTGAGCAATGGTACTGCGATAAGGACTATCACCAAAAATAAAAGCATTCCTCCGTGCATCTCTAGTTCCCAGTGACATAGTCTTTTCCTATTACCAACTTCGTTAGAAATCCGTTCTAGGAGTAGAAAGTATTAACTATGTGTTTTTAAGAGCCATTTCACATAAGCGGTGACTCGGTTATGCAGTACACTGCTCAAACATATGTCGTGGAACCCGTTCGAATCAGTCATTAAAAAAATATACATATTTCTGAGTAAAATGGCGTTTTCTGTTTGAAAAAATGTTGGTTGGTTGCTGAGAAACGAGCATTTTAAAATTTTGACTTACTTTGAAAATTGTTCCAGTGCCTGCTGAGGGAGTGTTCAAACTTCTACGGGAGCCTGCTGCTGTGTTACAGTAGCTGGAAGGCGATCCTAGGCTGCCGGTAGCCAACCGTCTGACTTTTGGGCTAGCAACTTGTCAGTTGGACATTAAACTACAACTGCTAATGAAAAGACAATCAACAAGTGCGGAACGTGCAGAAATTCGTGTTTTTTGGAGCATGAAATGTTCGATCATGTTTTCATTATTCAAAACAACAACTGACTCAAAAAGTGATATGAAAGTAAATTCTAACTGTCACTCTTGGTGAAATGATGATCACAATCTAAGCTAGACACGTTTGGAGGATGGTGGTCTGATGAATGACCTTGAACTGATAGCAAGATGTGAACGAACAACTCCAGCGGCCAAAGAACACTTAACTTTTTTATTTGTTTCGTATTTTTTGTTTTTTCTCACCCTACACCGAAAAGGAATCTGGGTATACTTACTTACTCTTGCAACATCTTGAGTGGATTCACTCAAGATCTTGAAATTTCTTAACCCAAGATCTTGGGTACAAGAAGTTCCACTAGGGGAGTCGAAATTTTAAAATGCTCGTTTCTCAGCAATCAACCAATATTTTTCTAAACCGAAAACGCCATTTTACTCAGAAATGTCTATATTTCTTTTTATGACTGGTTCGAATGAGTTCTGTGACATATGTTTAAACAGCGTCTGTCGTCGCTTATACGACATGACTCTTCAGTGATAATAGAATAATCTTTTATTTAAATTATTGAATGTATTGAACAGACGAATAAAAAACACAGAGATCACTGAAAAGATGCAGTTATCGTTACAAAATCTCATTGTTAAGTGAGAAAAAAACAAAATAAAGGAAGCAACAAATATGTATAATACTGATGGAAAAATGAACTTCGATTTTTTTTTTTTTCTTCGGGTTTGTAATAGAATGTTAAAAATCATAAGTATAAAGTGATAGTTCTTTGGATAAAGTTAGCATTTGTCTTGAACACGATAAAAATTTTTGGACGGATTCTTGCAATTGATAGAGAAATTTTGTTCAGTTTTTAATTATAAATAATACATAAATGACGAATGAATAATACAAACAAGTTGAATTGTGAATATTCACTGATCTATTAGAATTGGTTTGTTTTGAAAGCGATGTACTCAATGTAGTTGACACTTTCCCTTCTAATAAAAAAAGTACATATAATAGAGAAACATTTTAGTAAAATAATTGTACATATAACCTACGATGATGAGCTTTTTTTCGTGATGAATCCATACGTCTAAATTTGACGTCTTTATAGTCGGATAATAGCTTGAGTGATAAATATTCATCATCTTTTGATGCTATTAAACTTGACGTTGTAGTAATCCGATGTTTTTTGACATGATTATCTGTTCGTCGAAGATTTTCTAAAATTAAGAATGTTTAACAAACAATAGAATGAGAAGGATTATTTCCTGAAATAAATTTACGAGAAAATCTCGAGAAGGAGTCAATCATCTTTTCCTCGTTTCCTTTTCATATTTTAACTTATTATAGATAACTGCTGATGCTGAGCACAAATCTGATATTCGTGTTTGCCCTGAAAATCACTACGGGACAGAAATTATTTTTATCTAAACAAAGCTCGAGACCACGATTGATTTTTCGTTAAGAACTTTAATGTTTCATTTATCAGAAAAAATAGACGAATAATAAAAATATCTATTTTTAAGTCTAAACAGTCTAATCACCGGTGTGAAAAAAGGATAAATGTGGGAGACTATATTTCCATTGATAGTAAATATTACCGTCACTAGAACTGCTATCTTCATCATCCGTTTTTAGTTTCTTTGTTGTTCGTATCGACTGTTCATCGTCACTTGGATTCTTTCTTTTTTTAAATTTCTATGTAACTGCCCATAAGCAATATAAAAGCACCAGATGTCGTTAGAATGTATAAACGGGATTGAAATCAAACAAAATCGATCGCGCAGGATTCTTATCTATAGGACCTTCTGGGACGGAACTATCATGAGCTTACATTCGGTCACATGTACATGCTGATACTACCGGATGATAGCTTGCTTATGTAGATCAGTTTCGACTTTTAGCATGTGTTCAGTTGCAAGCTCATGATAATTCTCTACAGATACGGTTTCCCTATATGTGTCTAATATATCGAAACAAAAGGAATATCAGATTTGTGCTCAGTATCAAGAATTATTTATAATGAAAAGAAACTGAGAAAAAAGTGATTGAACACTTGACGAGATTTTCGTGTATAAGTAACGAGACTATTGTACATGGATGTAAATCCGTGGCTGTAACGAAAATTTTAATTTATATTAGTAATATTACCTGCTAAATGAATTGAATATTTACTGTCACCTAATTTGTTTTTTGCGTAACAAATAAATTCTGTATTAAGAAACCGTTTTGGTACATGCTAAATAAAATAGAAAAAATTTTTGTATCATTGAATACAAAATAGACGTGTATCACCTACTTTGATATAGAGTACAGTTTTCCATCTTGTACTATTTAGTTTTTCTTCTACAATTGACCATTCATTAGAATTATAGTGTTGTTGTTGATGATAAGCTGTCAAATCTATACGATTGTTATTCGAATCAATCGGGATATGAAACCATCTAATATTTGGATCGGGATTAGAGTCAACAAAACACACAAATGTCACTGAATCATCTGGAAAACGATGTACTTTTAATTGTGTTGAACTCACATCTGGCGGATCTATGACAAAAAAAAGAGCGTATTATATCAAATATCTAAGAATTTTATAAACTATCTTCATTGTAAGTAAACTCACATTGTACATCAAGTTCATATATTCGTACAACACTTCGGATAAAATTTGCTGCAATACATTCATACACCCCAGCATCAAACTTAGTAGCATTGACAATATTGATTAAACAAGGAGATGTACAGTTAATATTAATTGATTTTTGAATATCTTTAAAAAATAAAACATTTTGTATTGTAGACTGAAGAAGAAGAAAAAAAGAGTAAAGAATATTTTTAGTACCTGCTTTTTTAATCCATGTAATTAATGGTAACGGTTTGCCTTGTGCTCTACACGATAGCGTGACATTTTTACCCATTTGAGTACGATAAGTGGTTGTAGAACTATAATCATTTGTAACAAAACGTGGATGTTCTTTAAATAGAATAGAAAAAAAAAATAAATTGAATTATACTATAGAGTGGACAGTAGAAGAAAAAAAAGCATCTGTCTGTCACTTGAGAGAATGAAGATCAATTCATTTGTTATTACTTTCTTGTACAATGTCTTCAACTCTTAATTAATGAGTATTTTTTTTTTAATAATACACATTTTGTCTTATTCTCGGTAAATCAAAGGATGAGAAATTTATCAGTTTATGAAGAATGCATAGAAACAAATCACAAATATAAATTTTTCAATCACTTTTCAAATTCATTTTACAATTTATCAATGAAATTGTTTAGTTCTTATGACCTGAACTTTATGATAAATGAGCGATTTGTCTTTGTTCTACTGAAATTTTATCAATATTCTTGTGTTTTACGGAGCAATAATATTTTTATATAACTTCTTTTCACACGTAAAAGAACAAGAAAAAGAAAAATGTGAAATATTATTCTATTTAATTTTATTTTTTAAGGTATAAAATTATATAAAACTTTGAGAATAGTAGTAGTTTCTTATATTCTTTTCATTTTTTATTACTATTCAAAAAGTCACTTGAATATAAAGAGTTTAACAATCATCATTAAAACAAGTCATTTGACTATATAAAATGGAATAGGATTTAATAGGAAGATAACAATCAAATTGAAAGACGTATGGTAATATTTTGAGACAAAGACAATAGAATTATATAATTCATCATAAATGTAATAAAAATAATATCTATAAATAATTGCCTATTTTCATTTATAATATTTGCTCACTTACCAACAACATTCAATTGATATAATTTTATTATACGATTATCAACTTGGCAAGAATAATTGCCTTCATCTAAATGATTTACATCATCAATTGTTAAAATATATGTAATGACTTCTTGAATTTGATTTTGATGTTGATTAAATTTAGATGACCATGTTGATGGTGATGATAAAATTTTTATACTAGCACGTTTTTCCACTTGAAAACGATGATCTGAATTTATACGACTTAAACTATAAAAAAATACTTCAGCATCTTCAATTCGAAGCCAAAGACCCTAGAAAACAACAAAAAGAGACAACTTATAACAAATCTGATCTAGATCATTAGTTTGATAATTTCTTTTTTACTCTCAACAAACAAAATAAGATCAATTTTATAGCATAATACGTTTTTTTGTTGCTATTTTTCAATTATCAATGAAATACGGATACTGGATATAAATGTAATCTACAATCATGAGCAAATTTTTCTACACGTTTTTCCTCACATGGAAAGATGGTTATACTCATTGGTTTAAATATACGAGCGAAGAGCACAATCATTGTACCGCTGTATCCGAAAGAGTGCACCGGCTATAAATCAACTTCCACTGAACCGATTTTGGTTTTTGATTTTGTTCTACTTGTCTATGTTTGGTCATTCACTTGTGAAAAAACCAAGGCTCTAGCGCTTTTAGTTCCAAAGAAACTGCAGCCACAGTCTCAAAAACCTGGATTTTAGCGCCGCCTGCAGAAAGAAAATCTTTTTTTTCTGTCAGTTTCCGTTTTTTTCTCAATTATTTTTAAGTCAGAATTGTAGAACTGGTCAAGAGCTTTCAGAATATGTGATTTATTTTAGTTTCAGACTAAGTTGTTATGAACGAAAATTGTCATCAATACTCGGTAAGACACTTCACATTTTTT